TGTTTTGTTTTGTTTTGTTTTGTTTTGTTTTGTTTTGTAGGGGAGGCAAAAGTTCTCCTCTATTTTCTTAGTATCTCCAGCTGGGACTGAGAATTAAGTGGACATAAAACAGATTAACAGGAAGAAAACATACACATTTTATTTTACTTTTTCCAGGTACGTGGGAGCCTTCACAGGAAAATAAAGACCTAAAAATCGGGTAGACCTCAGTGTTTATATATTAGGTTGAACGAAGAGTAGTAATTGTGGAAAAGTAACTAAAATATCCGAGGAAGCTAAACAAGTCTCCTTAGCTCAAAGTAGTCGAGATGCCACACTGGCACATTTCGGGGAGGCCGCTCTGCACCCCCCAGTGGACAGATCGGTGGCATGAAGCACGTTCCCATTGTTGCGCAAACACCACCATCATCTCCAGACCTTCATTCGCCCAAACTGAAGCTCCGTCCCTGAGAAACCCTGACCTCCCCTCTCCCTGGTAACCACCCTCCTACCGTCTGTTCCCATCAGCCTGCCCGTTCTAGGGGCCTCAGAGAAGAGGGGCGATGGAAGATTCGTCCTTTTGCACCTGCCTTATTTTGCGTAGCGTGTCTTCAAGGCTCACCCCGTGGTGCTCCGTGCCAGAATTTCCTTCCTCTTTAGGGCTGGGTAGCAATCCGTTGGACGGCGAGGCCGCATTTTGCTTACCCATCATCTGTCAGTGGGCGCTGGGCTGCTCCCACCCTTTGGCGACTATGACTAGTGCTGCTCCGAACGTGGGTGTGCACGTCTCTTCAGCTCTCGTGGGTGTGTCCCCAGAGGTGGAGTGGCTCTTTCCTTTCATAACACTTATCCCAGCTGCAGGGATCCCCCAGCCGCTCGCGTGGCCCCTCGGAGGGCAGGGCCCCTCGCGAGCGCGGGTCCCGCACTGAATAAACGCCGTGGAATGATACTCGAAAGTTTCCAGTGCTAGCGGCGGGGCGAACCTAGGCTGCGCTCATCTTAGCTCGTGGAGACCAGGTCAGGGAGCCCCACTCACCCCGAGGACTGAGAAATCTTCCGAGAGTATCCATTTTACTCAGTTATTTGAGGAATGACAATGTGCCAAACGCTTTGCTGAAACGATCTCATTTAATTCTCAAATAACGCGGTTCTATTCATCCCCCTGTTACAAGTGAGGAAACTGAGGCTAAGGCCGGGCCCGAGGGCCCACAGCTGGGAAATGGCTAAAGCGGAATATTTAGCCAAGACTTTCTGACTGCGGGACTCACGCACAAATCCATTCTGCGGCGCTGCGGCAGTCAAGCATCGTTTTTTGTCATAAAGCAGAATAAGAGATATGGATTACGATGCGGAATTTGTCACTTGAAGATGAAGTACAGGGCCTCAGAGCGCATTTCCTGCCTCCTGGGTGCCTCGCCTCTGAGCCCGGTGTGAGCTCCATCCCAGCCCCCGGTCTGAGGGCCCTGGGGAAACAGACTGAGGCTTCGGCCGGGTGAGGCCAACGAGGACCCCCCAGGGCCTCCAGCCATTCTTATGCATCTTCCAGAAGATGGCTGTGCAGAAAGGGAGTGACCTGGTCCAGGTTTTGAACGTCGGCATCAAAGGGGAATGTGTGTGTTGGGTGTGGGGCTGGAGGCGACACAGACCCTGCAGCTAAATGCTATTTTCCTGCCTGGGGGAAAATCCAGCGCAGCCCAGCGGGGCCTCCGCAGACCTCGGCCCCTCCCTGTTCAGCCCATCTTCCTGGACAGCCCTCGGCCTTGGCCACAGTCTGGGTCTCGCCTGGTCCTGGGCCAGGGAGGAGGGGAGGGCAGGGAAGGCTCTTCAGTGAGTGTTCCCTGGGAGGGCACGGAGGACCGGAGGAGAAGGGGGAAGAGGGTCTGCCTCCGTCCTCTTGGAGTGTGGGGAGGGGCTGGGAGCCGTCAGGGGTGCAGGACCCAGCAGCCGGCCGCTGCCAGGAGGGAGCGATGCTCGAGTCCATTGCTTGGTCTGTTGTTTGGAATTCCGGAGCTCATTTTCCCACGGAAACAAAGCTCAAGTGGAGGTTGGCTTCCTGCCTGGCCCAAAGGAGCCCGACTCAGCTAATAGCCACAGCCTCAGAAGGCCCTTCACACTCTCCACCATTGTCTGGGACTGGAGGGGTGAGGGTGGGGCAGGAGGCAGCTTCAGGGAGGGCAGATCCTGGGGCAGCTCTGCCCAGGGCTCGGTGGCCTTGGAAACTGGACCAGGCCTAGGGCAGCTCTTACACAAGCTACTGCAACCCTGGGAAAGGGTATGTTCGCGCTAGCTTGTGTGTGTGTGTGTGTGTGTGCCGGTGTGTGCGTGTGTTTAGACATTTCTAAGCACGGGACACACCTAAGCATGGAGCATGGAGCAAGTGTCCTGGACTGGGTAGCCTTGGGCAGCTCTTGCATGTCTCTGTGCCTCAGTTTCTTCATATGGAAATAGTAGTGATACAAGGTTTGGACTAGATGGGGGGGTTTCTAACATTTTTTCTTTTTAATGTTTCTCTTTTTTCAAGCTGAAAGGTGGGAGGCTCACAGCAGGTGAGGGGACTCTAGGAAGCCCCCACGGGTTCCGGTCCTGACAGCCACAGAGCAGCCTGGGTGAGCTGAGGCCCTCAGCTGCCAAGGGAACGGTGTTTTGAACACAAAGCACCATGAGCAAGGAGGCCCTGCCCAGAAAAACAACATCCTGGCTGCAGGGGCTGAGGCAGGGCTGGGCAGGAGGGGCTATTTTTAGCAGCTAAGGCAGCCAGGGCAGGACTTGTATGGCCTTGCTGTCTGGGTGCATAACTCACCCGTTGTCCAGCCTGACCTGGGCCGGGTGCAGAGTGGCCCCTGTCTGCCCTGGCCCTCCCTGCCAGGCCTTCCCTAGGGTGCCCCTGGGCCACAAAGAACTGAGGGAGGAGGGGGCTGGCCTGGAAACACACCCAGCAGCCTCAGGGAGCAAGCTTCCCCTTTGAAAGCAGAATTGGGGCGTCCCAGGCCATGATGGGGGGTTTGGAGGCAGCATGGGGCACCGGGCCTTCCAGGGAGAGAAGCAGAGGCTCTGCTGGGGTACAGGGCAGGGTCTTCCCAGCCTGGGGCTGAGCACTGTCCCAGCTGCACAGCTAAGTGCAGAGAAATGAGGCAGATTCCAGAGGAGGACACAGGTCCCTTTATTGTAGATGTTCTCGGCTCCAGCCACACCCCAGGGTCAGCTCAGTCACATCCTCCGTGAACTGAGAAGGTATGTGAGTGAAAGAAAGTCTAGGTCTCAAACTTTCTTGCCCCCACCCAGGAGCCGTGCCCTGTTCTCGGGGTGTGATGCCTGCATTTAATCCTGGGTACAAATACCGTAAATTAGGTCCAGGGTGGGCATTCAGGATGAAAATAGCTGATGGGTAGCAGGCCATCCAGAGCAAACAGTCAGGCAGCCACCATGACTGTGGGCCGACCCCCACAGAAGACCTCTCTAGCTGCCCCTGTCCAGAACCAGGGGGTAGGGTTGCCCCAAAGGACAGGCACCCTGGTTCAGCGCCCCCTTCCCGGGCCAGGGCTCTCCCTCCTAGCAGGAATCCTGGGACCAGGGGCTCCGGTCCCTTCTCCTGCCTCTCAAGCCAGTTCTTGAAAGATGAGACATACTGGGAATTCTTGATGGGTGGAGAAGATAGAAAAGGGAGTCATTCATTCAACAAAAGTTTATTGAGCACCTACTGTGTGCCAGGCACTGTCCTAGGCCCTGGAAAAGGAGGGCTTGGGGTAGCATGATCTGTCCCGGCTGTGGTTTTCTCTGGTAGAAACCAGGCCTGCAGGGGGGAGGGTCTGAGAGGCACTTGAAAGGGTCTGGGGGGCCTCCTCCCTGCGAGGCAGGAGGCCAAGTGTACGGAAGGTGGAGGCCCTAGAAACGAGGCTGCTGAGGATGCGTGGGACTCCGAGGCTGGCGCCTCCTGTGGGGCAAGCCGGGGCTGCAGAGATGCAGGCGGGCCAGGAGCTGAGGCTGCAGCAGTGACCCCTGGCCCCCCTGCATCACCTCCTCTTCAGCACAGATATGCAGGACTTCTTGAGGGGCCCGATCTGCAGATGGGCATCCACACTCTCCAGGAAGAAGGCGGGCTTCAGCCTGCTCCGGAAGAGCCCCCAAAAGTGGCTGTCCAGGTGGCTCTGGAAGGGGTCAATGGGGGAGGCCGAGGGGCCAGCCCGGCGGGTCCGGGTGGCCTTCAGCCTCCGCAGAAGGCTCATCTTGCCATCCCGCACGGTGTAGAAGGCCAGGGCTTGGTCGGCATATTCCAGGCAGACCCCGACCGTGGGCGAGAAGGGGTGAGGCAGGGGTGCCTCCTGCCCATGGAACCAGACGGAGAAGCTGCGTCCATTCCACTGTAGGCAGCAGGAGTGGGCATTGCGGCCAAGCCGGCCCCGGTCGTAGGGTTCGTGTGGGGAAAAGTCTTCGGACATGACCCCCACGCTGACCCAGCCCTCAATGATCTCCACCTCCCAGTAGTAGGTGCCCCTGTCCAGGGCGCCTTCACCCAGCACCTGCTCGCAGTGAGTGAAGCGGGCGGGTGACTCAGGGTAGTTGATGGGACACAGCACCCTCTTCACACCTTTGGTCCCAAACAGCTGCAGGAACTTGTCTGCTGTGTCACTGTCCAGGTCCACGATGTAGGCGACTGCTCCCATGGACAGGAGAGAGACGTAGGGTTCAGGACCAGGCTGAGAGTGCACGACCCATCCCCTAGGTGCCCACCTCACCCCATCTTTGCGGCCAGCACTACTCAGCCCTGCTGGAGAGTCCCCCATGAGCTGACCTAGTTCACCCCATGAATGAGGGAGGGGAACCCAAGCGCTCCTGTGCCAGGGCCCAGCCCCGCCGCCATCAGAGGGCCCAGTGTGAACGGAGGGCAGAGTCCAGCGTCTACTCACACTTGAGGAAGTAATCCCTGGGTGCCTCGCTCTCCAGGTGGTTGCTGTTATCTGGGTCCTGGGACTCGGCATCGACTGCAGAGAGAAGAAAGACAGTGGGGAGGGGCTCTCGCCAGCTACCCAAGACTGCTATGCAAAGTGCCCCTTCCAGAGCTGTGACCCCAATTCCCTCTTCTCCCCAGTTCCTCCCAGCATCCCAAACCTCCTGGGACAGGCACACTAACCAAATAGGGCACCCTGTGTTCACATGCATGCCTGGTACTCGGGTTCTGCCCCCTGCTCCACTTGCCCTGGGATCCCAGCCCCTCTGAAGTTAAAGGGTGCCCTGTAGGCTATGGCCAAAGTGGCTGACTGGTCATTACAGGGTGGTGGCTCTGGTTACGGGCAGGATTTGGGTCCCACCCTGCAACAGGCACAGTTTCCATCCTGTAGTCCTGAATGGGCAGCAGGCCTGAGGACCTGGGAGAGAAGACTGGGGAACAGTGAGTCACTTGGAGGGGGCACCCACCTTCCGTGCTGAGCTTCTGCAGCCCAGCCTCATCATTGCTCAGCCCTAGCAGCTGCTTCCACTGGCTGGCGCAGGCCGCAGTCACCACATCTCTCACTGCCTTCACAGCCTGGGACGACTTAGTGAAGCTGAGCTCCCTCGGGGGACCAGGCCCAGGGCCGCACCCCTCCTCCAGGGCCAGCCTGAGTGCCAGGAGTTCCTGTGCCAGATAAATGCCCATCAAGGCCCTGCTGGCCATAGTTCCTCCCAGCTGGGGTGAGACAGCTAGCACAGCCCTGAAGCCTAGGGCACCCACTGCCTTGTCCTCTCTCTGCCCCCCGCCCTCGCCCTCTCTGGTCCAAAGAGCTGCGCTCACCTGCAGGAAGCTGACTGAGTCGGCCTCAGGGACCTGACTGAGGTTGTGGCGGGCCCGGCTCAGCCGGCTGCGCTGCTCCTCCTGCCGCTGAAGGTCGCCCTGGGAGCGGCCCAGCATGGTGGCCTCACCCTCTTCAATGAAGCCCAGCACCTCCTTCTGGAATCCCTGCAGGGTGGCCGAAGCCTCTGCAAACAGCCGGCTCACCCTCTCCCGCTCGGCCACAGCTGCACTCTGCACAGGACAGCAGTGGGAGCAGTGGTGAGGGCGAAGAAATCGCTGTTTGGGCCCCCTCCTTCCCAGGCCCCACTACCGCCCCCTCTTGGAGGGGGCACAGAAAGACCAGCTGGAGCTGCCCTGGGTCTCTGCCAGGTCTGGGGGGACACTTGTGCTCAGGGGGACTGGGCAATGCCCTGAGCACAGGTTTCTTTGGAATGGACTAGACCATGCAGTGAACTCACAATGTCAGGAGCCTACCGCAGGAGGGGACAGGGTTCGGGTCGGGTCTGACCTTGATGAGGGCCACCGTCCGCCGGGACTGTGCAATGCTGGCACCCAGCTCATCCATGCGGTCCTCCACCGCACTCAGCACTTTGGGCTGCTCGGCCTGTGGACGACATCCTTCCTGAGTATGGAGTCCGCAGAGGCCTCAGCTGTGCACTGGGGTCAGGTCTCACCAAGGGGCAGGACAGGGGAGACCTGGGAGTGGTATCTGTGCATAGGTAGGACTGGGAGTGGCCATGATGTCCCACAATATGCCAGAGGTGCCTCAAGCCCAGGCCACTGCCATTCCCACATGCTCAGGGAGAGCACCAGCTGGCCGCACATTGCCTGCCTCCCCTCTCTGACCAGTGGGCAAGCACAAGGCCATCCATGGTCCTCAATGTCACTCACATTCACTTGAGAACTTCCTTCAGTGGGGAAGAGGCAGAGAATGGGGATACGGGGGCTGCATAAGAGGGCATTCAGCTGTCCTGGGGACCCCTGTCCCCAAAGACTCTATGTCCCCAATCCAGGCCTTAAAAATGGGGATTCCGGGCAAATCCCCCGGATCTTATGAGTCACGGTTCCAGGCTGGAGAGGCGGAAAATCCCAAGGCCAAGGCGCCAAGACCGGGCTGGAGGCCAAAGGAAACTTGGGGCGGAGGAAGCAGGACCGACTAGGCGCACACGCTCCCACCACCGGCCCCTGGACAGTTCGCCACACTCCTGCCCTCGCCACACCCATCTAAAGCCTCGGCCTCAGCCCTGGGCAAATCTGAGCGGGGACCCATCAGCGGCCCAGGACCCCCCCCGCCCCCACCCAGATTCCCTCCTGCCTTAGAC